CGACGCTCCCCAGGTGGCACCCGCATTTGCAAAAAGAATATCGACGTGGTCCGTCGTCTTCTTCACCTCGGCCGCCAGCCGTTCAAGCTCTGATACCTTGGAGCCATCAGCAGGCACAGAAATGGCCTGCGCACCGGGCCGCTTGTTGGGCATGGCATTAAGCGCCGCAACAGCCTCGTCACAGGCCGCTGCTTTGCGCGACGAAATGTACACCTTGGAGCATCCAGCCTGCAGAAATCCGCTGGCAACGTGCAGACCGAGACCGCGCGAGCCTCCGGTCACCACGGCGACTTTTCCTTCGAGCGAAAAGATGGAGCCGAACTTGTCCAGCTGGACCTGTGCTTCGGCTTCTCTTGACATTGCGTTTTTCTTTCTTTTCTTTTCTTTTCTTTTCTTTCTTTTATTGTTCCTCTTCGGCCTGGGATGTAGTGTTTGTAGGCAATTAGCTGCTGGGATTAAATTAGTCCAAGGAGGTGAAGACAGCGACAGCTCAATGTGGAGAAATGCGGAGACGCCGATAAGCCATAAAGCTTTGGTGTAGGTAATACTCACCTGGGACAAGTGGGCAGTTCTTGTATTCGTATCGGAAATAGTTCTAGTATTATTACTAGTAATAACTCAAGGAGACTTCGATGTTGGATCGGAAGATTCTTTTTTCAAAAATACTTCCCGTTTGCGCAGGTACATATACAATTCATTCATTTACTGATTTTTAATAATTAATTTCCACCGCCGACGGGTTTGCCGATTTAACCTCGGCATGGATCCGCACCTTGGAAACCGTATGGAGCTAGCGCGCTGTAGGCAACGTGCTATTCTTATTAAGGAAGGATGTTATTCTACTTTGCCGATATACTTTGAAGTAGATTTATCTGAATCACCCGAGGGGGCAGGTAGGTCATGAAATGTATTCATGGTAGATTAAAAGCTGACAGTAACATATAGTGCCGAAATACCACAGCTCTCCTTACAGCTCTTGATCCTAAATAAAAAAAGTCCATGCCGGAAATATATGGGAGCTGGATACTCGCTGCGACCGATTTATAATTTTCAACCGTTGTATGACTATTACACAACCAGAACCGGTCATGCAACCGTAAATTTACTGATATATTACAGATTTCTTAACGTGAAGACGTTTTGAAACGTAAAATAATATTATAGTATAATAAATTTGATACATTACCAATTTCCATTATTTTCTCAAAATTTTGGAACTTTATCAAAAATCTATGACTCTTGAATCATGCAACAATGCATATAGATTTCCAAGATGGTGGCTTGCAAAAAAAGCGCGTCAACCCGCACCCAGTGCGTCTTCTCACGTAAACATCAAGCCTACCCTTACATATATATATATAACTAAGCTTCCCACCCAGTTTACATCAACCCCCGAGTGTCTGGGCCTCGGTACAGTTTCTGGAGTATATGCAATCCCTTAATTTATATAGCCTCACTAATTGACTTGCAGCTCTGACTTCTTGCGCGTGCGCAGGCCTTACAATACCGGTTTTCGCGGGAACGCGGATACCGTTCAGCAACGTTGCGGCAACGTTGTGCGGTTTTGCAACGTTGCAAGAAATCTACACATATATGACCGTTGCAAAAGTCACTACGTATACAAATTTATAAGCGTAGTGACTTTCCGCCACGTATCAGTAATGTGGTGACGTTGCAACCTGCTTATAAGTTGAAAATCACTTACAAGTTGAAAATCGCTTTCAAGTTGAAAACGGCCGGCAATGTTGCAAAATTTGATACGCTTATACTTCCTGATACGTTGCAAATTAAATTACAATTTACATATAAATTGATTGTATTTTTAGTATTCTAAATACAAATTGAGAAGCTACAGTAAGGCCTACAGCGAGAGGCTTGCAGCGAGGCCTGCAGGGTGGCCTACACCGGTTTGGCGTGCCTGAGAAGCTGGTTAGTGAGACCTTATAAGGTGGATTTGACAAACGTACTCAGAAAGCTAAAGCAAGGCCTGCAGGCCTGCGCGTACTAATTTGACCCAATTGAGAAGCCTATAAGCTGATTAGTAAAAAAGGGGATTGTAATGTATTGAGTAAATATGCAGCGAGACCTGCCTGTATGCACTAATTAGTGAGGCCTTGGGGTGCGGTTGGATATATATCTCTGCGTGGTGTTGATATATATATTTGCAAGGGTTGACCCTCTGGGGTAGACGCGTCGACGCGTCTGGTTTGTTTTGTGGGTCCATCAAGTCAAAAAATTAATTTTCATTGGTTCCGCATATAAATTATATGTTGCAGAAGGGTTGTAAGGTTCAGAAAGTATCAAGATTTTGATATGTTGCAGAAATTGGTTACGTATCGAAATTGTATACGTTGTGGTTTTCTATTACGTATCAAAACAGTGATACAGTCAATAAATGGATAACGTATCAATAAAATAACGGTAATGACACTGTTTTTAAATTATAATTGGTTGTATAACCGTTACCAAGCCTCTCAACGTAGCCACGACGTTGCTGAACGGTATCCCCATTCCCGCGAAAACCGGTATTGTAGTGCAGGCCTCGCTGCGGCTTAATTTGTAATTAGAACACTAAAAAGACAATTAATTTCTATATAAATTATAATTTTACTTATAATGCAACTACTACTAACTAGAAATAGTTTACAACTAAAATATAGCTTATATGTCACGGGACCAGCCTCGCTTTCCTGTTCATGCCGTAACATTATAACTAGAAAATAGCTTATAACTCTCAACTATTCTACTGCTATAATCTGTAAATCTGAATATTCTTAATATATTACAGAATATTACCATTCTAATAATTTATTAGTATAATAATATTTATAATAGTCAGGTCTGCTATATATAACTTTTTCTAAGAGTTGGAAGCCATGAAAATGTTACAACAACGTTATCCAGCAGTATCTGGCTCCTATATATTTCCGGTATTGTACGTGTAAGCGCGGCCTAAGACCTAGACCCGAAGCTAAATACGTACTCAATATGCGTGATATTTTCTAGTAATTATCAATAGCAGATAACAATTGTCAACTGGTAGGCAGCCTCAGATTGAGGTTTCTACTTACTGAAGGAAGTGAATGTAGAGAATTTGGGCACAATTGAGAAGTATGCTTGCATCAGACATTTAAACTGTGATCGATAATAACACCGTAGATCAAGGTAGAAGGAGCATAAATGGTTTCCGAACTCCAGTACTTGAGTCACTCATCAAGTAATGGGTTTATTTCTTCTACATGTACTTGTATATGTAATAATACAGTATCGTATTTCAATATGAAACTAAGGTTGTACGTGGTATCTGCTAAGGTAGACAAAAATTCCAAAAAAATTATTGAGCTGGCAGATGCAGTTCAAAAATTGAAAACAGCAGTTGTATCTCCTATACCAACCAAGCCGTTTTTTTTTTTTTTTTTTTTTAAATATCAAAGACCATATCAGTGGCCATATCTATCTATATCGCTGCAAATCCAGGATGCAGTATACACATATTTACATCTTTTAAGGAGAAAAAAGATATTCATATCATGCAAACTACTGGCAGTGTAGGAATGCTGTTGACGGACAGGCTGAAACAAAGTTACTCCCCATCTCGAACCTTCTTACAGCCAAATCACGGACCGCACAAATCATTGAGCATTTCGGCTGATAGTACAAGTTTTGAAGGGCGATTGGGCTCGCTGCCTCGCAGTCCGACTATTTCTGGAGCTCTTTAGCCTCGGGTAAAACCACCCAATTTATTCACCCGTTTTCGTGCATAGTCGCCCTTGGGCTGGCTAGCTACACACAGAGAACTCCATACTACCCACTCCACATGCTATAAAAACACCAAAAAATTGGACAATCCGGTAATCGAAACCGGGACCTCTGTCATGCTAAGACAGCGTCATACCACTAGACCAATCGCCCGCTGGTATTTTTTGCGTCGGAAAAGTACATACTATCTATTTATAGATAAGAGATGTATAAAAAAGGAATTCTAAACTACGCACTCCATATACTCCCAAAAAAGACTAAAAAAAATGGACAATCCGGTAATCGAAACCGGGACCTCTGTCATGCTAAGACAGCGTCATACCACTAGACCAATCGCCCGCTCGTGTTTTTTGAACAAAGATTCCCATTACTAGAGGATTTTAAAAAGCCCCAAAAAAACTTCGTCAAAACTTCTAAATCGAGTGTAGTCGGGTGGGGATATATAACCGGCAGAATCCTCGGGAGCTATACCAAATCGGTTATAGACTCTACCTCGCTCTTGATGCGATTTTTATGGTTTTGGCGTTGGCTACAAAAACCATGGATCTTGACGTTTATATTGAGATTACTCGACGATCTCGATGTTATCAAAGATTCTATATTATAACCATAATTTGCTTCAATTGATATTGGAATAGTATAATTGTATTCCTAATATATCACTGGCACGAATGGGGATTTCTTTAATCGCTACACTGCGTTCCGCGATGATTATTAGTACGAAGTTGCTTTTCAAAAAGAAAGAAATGAAGCTTGGCTTATAAGCTTTTGAAACTCCTGTAGTGAGGCTAATTTGACCAATTTGACCACGCTTCCTGAGTATGCTGTTAAATTGGTCAAATTGGCCTCGCTACAGAAGCGTTCTGCGTCCTACTGGCGTTCATGCGCCATAAAGGTGGGGCTTACACCCCACCTGAACTAGTATTAAATGAGTTGTGGAAGGAATTGATGATTTTTAATAATAGCCAGATTATATGATAGTTATAAGATAGATTGCTCGATGGCTTTTATTAAAAATCGATTTTTTCTACGAAATTTCATCGAATTTTGGCGTTAAGACTACATAATCATAATTAGGTTTTCACGGATGGCAAATACAACTAGACCGCCTTCCTAAAAATAAGAATTTCACCGCCTTCGCGTCCACTACTCTCGATTCCACGAAATTTCCCTTCGGAGCCGCTGCTAAAATCCTCTACCACCTACTCCGCATACTACCAGAAAAAAATCAAAAAATTGAGTGGACAATCCGGTAATCGAAACCGGGACCTCTGTCATGCTAAGACAGCGTCATACCACTAGACCAATCGCCCATTGCTGAGTTAGCAGCGACAGGAAATAATGCTACATATTACTACTCAGTAATTAGCCCTAACTCTGACCCTCGTAAGTACTGGGCAGTGCCGTAAAGCTCTTTCTTATTCGGTAAATATATAAGAAAATGTTAATTCATTAAAGTGAACATCTTATTAATTGATAGTAATAGTTCATCAACTATATATATCCGAAGTGTACTACCATGTAATATTTTCATAATTCAACTTACATGTATCATATGAATCTTTATAGAAAATTGAAATTACGCAGCTTCGAATGTTGTGCAGCATTTTGACTTACTTTATAAGCTATATAAGAAGTAACGGTGCTAAGGTCCTCGCTTTCACCTACATCGCAGTTCAACACAAAAAATACATATAGGGTTTGTAAATTTAATTCCGTTAAGTCTTCCTTTTTTTTCATTCCATTGGCACCATAAAACCAGATGGCTGACTCTTATAAATACCCAAAAGAGCCGATGGAAGGTTTATAGGTTTTTATCTAGGAGCTAATTTATTTTCTGGGTGTAATATTGTGCTTTCGAAATCGGCGATGGAGCCATTCTCATTTTGACTGAATCGACATTGGCGGAATGGTTGCTATAATACTCTATAAGAACTTTCAAAATCTTGTAGGTGCTCCTTCTGCTGGAGCGTGATAACAAGATGGCAACATGACGCTCAACTTCCCATCTCATCTCAATCTCCATTTCTGCCTCTGCCTCCGCCATCTCTGGTTTTGTAGGCCACCGTGCACACAAACATATGCCTAGAATTTCCTAAACTGCCTCCGTGTTTATTTAACTACCATCTATTTCTACCTCTAACTTTCGTATTAACCCTACTCCTAAATATCTAACCAGAAGTTTTCGAAGATGTTAAAGCATTTCAAATTTCCACTAGAGCTATATTGTCTATAATTCTTAACCCTAGTTTGAAAATACACACTGACTTTTCTAGTTTGTGCTCACTCCAGCAATCTTATGTATAATGCCTATATTAATCCTAAAGATCTAAACGAAATCACCTTGTTTCCGGAAGGCATCAAAACTTTCTGCAAAGCATGCCCATATCAAGTTTCTATCAAAGGTGTTGATGCACAATCTGTATATTCCTGTCTGTCTGACGAGGATGAATGTGGCAATGAGGATGAGGCTGACGACAAGGATGGTGAAGTCGACATGGATGAATCAATAACAAACGACATCCAAGAAGAAGCTGGTACGGGGTAGTGAAATCGAAGAATATACCAGGGCTGTGATTGACGAGGTCTGCCGGCGTGATCCTGGTCGGATTTCTCACCTGCTAGCCAATCAGCAGTACCCCAATCAAGCTTTTCAGCCCCCTACTCAACCACAAGGTCTCCATTTGAATAGACCGCCTCTCAAGAATATTGTTAAACACATGCTCGTTAGCATAATGTCTAATCACACTCAAAACAAACGTTATGGAGAGTTTCTTAACACAACAGAAGGGATTGAAGAGATTCTTATTAACGCTTTAACTCCACCTGCCAAGGCAGCGTTTATGGAGCATCCAATCGAATTAGTTAAGTTCATTTTTTATAATATCTTTGCATTAAATCGAGGCTGGTCTATCCTAGTTTAATTGATATCCCTGGTCATTCTGAGGAGAGTGAAGACACTGGGATATACCTCCATATTCTTAAGACGGAGTACTAGTTCTACCTTTATGTTAGGCAAGCATATGAACTCAATACACGGATCGCCTTTCACAATGACCCTGCTAAATGCACCTCTCATCCCTCGCTACATTACAAGTTCCGGGATAAAATCAAGACAATGACTGGATTCAAGACCATTTTTGTAAAGGTTGCGACATTTGAGAATTATCCACAGAGTCCTTACGGACAACCCATCTTGAATCTGGAAGAAATGTTTATAGCGATTGTTCTACAAACATTAAAGCCTTCCAACCTCGAAGTTTGGTTGTAATGATGTTCCACGACTTTGGGCAGAACGAGGCCTAAACGTGGCTCTACCCTTATGGAAAGGGCACAAAATAGAAGGAGCCGAATCCTATGGTGAAATAAAGATGACAGCAGAGGAGTTCACTAAAATGCTTCACGACAAAGATGAACTTTGTAGAGAATACGCTATCCAATTACGTGATACGTATCAAAGTTTTTGTGAACATCCTGACCATCAAGTGCAGGGAATTTGGCTTTCAAACTTCGGAAAATTTCTACGTCTCGAGCTATCTGCAATAGAAAACGCTACACGAAACATCAAAAGACGGTCCAGGATAGTGCGCTTGATTTCCTTGCCCATGGAAAGACAATACAAGTATATGAGACAGGTATTGGGTACCAAGCTACATAATCTCAATATTCGTTCAGGCTTGGGATTCCATGACTTGATTTGGGAGATCACGTTAAGGTAAAACCTAAAAAAGGACATGTCTACCAAAGGAAAGAAACTTCCATCAAATCATACACCAAGCGGAAAAGTTGATGGGAAATTTGCATTTATCAAGCCCGTGTTATTTAACGCACCAACAAATCTATGATATGCCAGCGATGCTATTATAAGTGACCCAGCTAGCCGCTAATAATACCAGCAAACACAGATTATGGGAATGGTATGGGTTCACTAAGACCTTTATCATGTAAAGGGCAATATGCTATAAAACCAATGAATCGCCTGGTGGATGTTTTTGAAGGTATAGATTACTACCAATCTGTGAAGTCAGGGCGTCGACAATTATCTAAAAAGGATATACTAAAGACAGAAGCTCTCTGAAATGTGAATGGGAACCCGTTTGCGAACAACACGGTCGCATTGGTTCTGGATTACGACTTGTGAGAGTTTTGTTTGGAAGGAAGGGGTGCCGCCAGAGGGGATTCATACGGCCTCGTATGGTGCTGATGGGGATGTGGAGCTTATTTTGAGTCAGGGTTGACAAGAGGAAGAGACAAGAGGCATGGCCTGCAAGCCGGCTGGCTGCATGGACAACAGTAGATCTCCTACTGCCGAGGATGGGTGACCAGCTTACCGCCTGCCCTTTCGGGCCCAAACTGATCCTCCGCAAAACCATATTTGGTTAGAGACTTGCAATGAGGTGGCAGAAAACCCGGCAGAATAATAGTCTCCTAGCGAATCGTCTGAGCCTACTGAGATAAAGTAGACCTATCACTGACACGCAACGCAACTTTGAGGGGTAGAGACAAAGGCAAAAGGGCAAAAAAAATGCGGCGTGCTAGCAAACTACGTGTAGTTACCCCACCTAGTTAGCCTTAACAAACAACAAGAAGGTCTTGTGCCAGCCTTGCGACCATCTGCAGCCATAAACCTCCCACTTTCTTCCCATGGTTTTCATTATCTTCTTCTAACACACACTCTCTATAATATCCCACTTTTCACTTGTAAGGTGAGGATCGGATTGTGGTCCTCTCATCAATATGGCCGCTGTACACCAGACCTTATCACTAGTGTTCAACCATCTCGCATTTCCTCCCAAACTTCCTGGGCGTCGAGACACCGACGAGGAAGTTGAGCTGCTCCAGAAAGATCTCGTCAGTAGACTGATCAGTGAAGTCGGGACTCTTAAGCAAAAAACAGACAACGAGGAGACTTGTGCATGGAGCTCAGTGGATGCGTCTCTGAAAATATGCAAAGTATTGAACGACACCCAATTCATCAACCAGGAAACTCTCTTGTATCACCTTAAGTATCTTCAGCCAGGCGGAGATCTCATATTGAACATCGGCTCGCAGAATGCCTGCCTATTCATAAGAAAGTGTCTGTAGGTGTTCCGTGTCCCCATAAACCAGACAACAACCACTCGGTAGCAGTCGTCGCGTTTACTAATTCACATATTAGTGATACGCAAGACATTATCTTCGAAGCATTTGAGACATCCCTGACTTCTGAGCAAACCCTAGCATCGAAAGGAGCCCTGCAATGGGACTTTCCTGGAATCGCTGTGGCCCTTCCCGTGAGCGAGTTTGAGAACCCAGTATTCCAAAAGAATCTGGCAGCGTTTATCGAGAAAGCAAGCATCGAGACCGTAAATGAATTTGTTCCCAAAACGCGAAAAGCAGGCGTGGAAGTTTCAGAGTTTCGTGATACGGTTGACCCCGCGATTATCACTCAGTTCTTGATGACTCTGTTGGAAACAAACGGAAGCCTGGCCCACCCAACACTGTTGCGAAAGAGAACCAAAGACGACGTCTGCTGGGACAATGCAGAGCTGCCGTGGCGCCGAAGCCCATTTTGGCTTATTCTCAGAGTTTGCTCACAACGCATTCTGTATTCACACTTAGGTGCAGAGCGGGGGCGGATACAGTACAAGCTTCTTATGATACTTGTCCTGGTAAAACTTTTGGAAGATTGCTTCGATCAGCTGAGCCTTGAAGATAGCAACTTTCTGAAAACAAAGATTTGCCGCCGTTTTGCAAAATTGGACTTCGAACTTGGAAATTCATCACAGGCTGTTCGCGATACTTACGCTGGTCTCACAGCCACCATCACCCGGGTTTGCCAGAAACCTATCGACACGGCCACAAATCACTTCGAAACGACGTGGAGTACATTTAAACGTGAGATTAGACGTCATGTTCCGCGGGTTCCAAGTAACGCACAACAAGAAGACTTGCGCTTGCGGATGCCGAATAGCTTAGCGTACTTGCGCGAGGTGTTGGAGATCGAGAAAAAACGGCGTTTGTCATACCTTCAAACTGTAGAGCACAGAATTCCAGACCCAAGCAATAGAAAGGAAGTGAGTCAGGAATTTGCGGCATTGAGTGAACGGTATTTGTCTCTAGCTAGGAGAGAAATACTGATCAAAGCCGATGCGCGGGATACCCCGATGGAGATGGATGCATGCGATTCTAGGTGCAAGGAAATTGCGGATGAAATAAACTCTTACATGGATGCTGTTGGAACGGAGTACGAAAGCAACCCCGAGGACATGGGTATTTTCGTTCTCTCCCTGCTTGAGCTGTGGACTCGTATGGACAAATGTGCAGTGGTTGC